ATTTAGGACAACTATTCGCTGTCTCGCTGCCATAGTTTGACCAAATGCCCCATCACATTCATTCCCTTTAAATAGACTCCTAATTATGTGCTGCCTAATATTTTGCCAGCCGATGTGCCTTTGTATATTATAATGGAAAAACTAACAACCATCAGTATAATGACAGTTTTATTCTTTGCATAAAAACACTTCAATTAATTGAACACTAATTGAACACTGGGTGTATTACAACTTTAGAATTGTAATATTTATTTGGTTCTGCACTTTTTCTTGCCACAGAATTACAATCGTATCGACTGAAATGTGAAGAAGGTTTTTGCACAGTGGTGGCCACTAGCGGAGTGAACTGTGAACAGCGATAAGATATAGCTAAGATGGTCCAGACTAACCTTACGAACGAATGACTTACAGAAGGTATACTTAACTAAGAACGTTTCGGGAAACACGTATTAACGTAAAGGTACAACTTAAGGTATAACTTACGAACGACGTAGCGTTAAGAAGGTTTCGGGAAATGCAGCCCTGATCAATGAAACTGATAATTTTACTATAATTTTCTATTAGCTGAGTTCATCAGATTCAGATGACCATCATCATGATCTTACCTCCTCTAGCCGCACCAGGAAGGTCACATTGCTGCCCATGTTGGCTGTGAGTTTGTCATCATGGGTTGTCAGAACTAAACCTCGTGGGGGGCGGTTCGGACACTGCTGTTTCCTGGCTGTGTACATCTCCTTCACTCCTTTTGTGCAGTTATTCGCAACCACTTTACGATACCTGAAACACACAACGAAATCAAAAACTAGTTTGAAATGTGTCTCTCTTTTGAGATAAATGATTTGATGGTTTGACATTATCTAACTCAGTGACACTCACATTGTGACTCAGTGTCTGAATACTTATGGGTCATTGTATTTATCCATTTGAATACAACATGCCTGACAGATCCATTCTGAGCAGCTCTGGTTTTTTGTTGGAGGATGAATTGGTTTTGACCACAATTTATGTGGCAGCTCTGACACAATCTCTGAAAATGATAATCACATTCTTTCTCTGTCTCTTTCCTTGTCTGTAATTTCGCACTCTTGCTCTGAATGGATATGCTTTCTGACTGATGTTGGTTTTAAATTAGGTTTAAATGAAGTCTTTCCATTACACAGTGTTATCTGTCCAGCTAGGTCTCTTTGTATGGATTGTCTGTCTAGAACGTTGTCGTAAAGACGGACACCACAATCTCCAGAAAGTTTAAAAACCTGCTCACGTCAATATGGCTTGTGCCTGCTCATCAGCACAATAAGTTTAAATCATGGCTCACTTAATTAAAAATAACCACTTTCCTAAAACAAGATTGGTTTAGTGCTAGTTTGATTGAAATTGCTTTACAAAAAAATGCTCTTCACTTTATCCCAGTGATCACAGGAGAAATATATGATTATTTGGATGTGGAATATACTGTAAGTTAGCTATTGTTTATTTATATATGATATAATATATATATATATATATATATATATATATATATGCCAAATAGCAGGGATATTATAGTAACTTAAGACCTAAACTAATTTTAATTTAGTTAAACTTGGTGTACTAAAACAACTAAAAATGATAAATAAAAATAAAAAATTACTATATGGACATAAAAAACTAATAAAGATGGCAAAAACTAAATTACTAAAACTTAAAAATGAAAACGAAATATGTCTCATACAAGTTTCCTTTAAATTGCTAAGTAAATATGTTTGCAGGTCAGATTTAGCAATCAGTGAATAAATATCAACATAAGAAGAGTAAAACCCCAGCATGATGAAGAATGGTCTACATACTGTATATACATGAAGCTTACCCAGTGCTGTTGAGGTAGTTTTGCCCTTGGCTACAGCTTTGAGACAACGTAGAAGGGTTGAACCAAAATGCAGGCAGACAGTTTCCATCCCCTCTTCTCTCAAAACCATAATCACTGCAAAACAAAACAAACAAGGACAAAAAATCTCACATACATTATCATTTCTTAAAGATCTGGTTTGTGACATTTTCTGAAGTCGTTCCCTGATGCCTATCATGTAAAACGTTCTCTTAACTACCTGTACATCCTTTAATCCATGCACAGCGGCACATCTTGTATTCAAGCATATCCCTCTTTTATGCCCTTGAGACAATTGCAGCCATGTGAGATGTATTAATTCTGGGATGACAAATGTCTTTTCTGCTCTGAGAGCTGCAGGCATCAATGTATGTCCTTAACATCTTTCAATTCTCTCTTCTCCCAGAAGCCCTGGAACCTGCTGAAGTGAATGTCTGTTCATATATCACCAGTGACTTTGATTTATCAATTAATTACTGATCCACAACAAAACCCAGCAGACCACATGGTCCCTTTTGGCACCACACATTTGAGATTTTAATTATGAGCAGTTCCCATCCAGCACTCAGATAAGAGTCAAGTTTTAAAAGATATTTGTGTGCTAGTGCTCAGATTATAGCCATACAAATGTAGTATTCCTAAAAATTCACTATATATATATATATTTTTATTTTTATTATTTTTTTTTTTTAAGTTTCATTCAGTTGAAGAAAGTTAGCTGCGAACCAGCAACTAGCACCTTACCTCTGCAAGAAGATCCCCCCCCAAAAAAAGTGCAGTCATAAGTCATAATTTTCTCAATGTTTCAAGCGGAGGTATGGCTGGGTATCATGCATGTAAAAATGATACAGAATATTATGCTTCCGAAAAAGTCGAATCTAAAGGGAGCAAATACAACGAAAACAAAAGAGTGTCCAAGACTGTTCCCTGAGGTACACCAAAAGGTAATGGTATTGTAGAGGAATAAAAATTTACAACCTCCAACAAAAATGTTCTACCAGAAAGATATGATTTAAACTAGTTCAACGTGGTGCATTCAATTCCTACCTACTTACTTAACTGTTCAAGCTGTTCAAACTGTTCAATGGTGTCAAAGGCCATGCTTTTTTTACTCTGGCTTTTGAATCATTGTAGTTTTATTAGTTTACTAGAGGAATAAAAATGTACAACCTCCAACAAAAATGTTCTACCAGAAAGATATGATTTAAACTAGTTCAACGTGGTGCATTCAATTCCTACCTACTTACTTAACTGTTCAAGCTGTTCAAACTGTTCAATGGTGTCAAAGGCCATGCTTTTTTTACTATATATATATATATATATATATATACTGTATATATATCTGTTCTGGCAGAACTAAACCTAACTTTTTTCAAACTTTAATTAATGGCTTGAAGTTAGAAAGCCATGAAGATTTGAAACTTATTTCTGCTAGATTAAACCAACATGCATTTGAAAGACATCATCTTGAAATGCAGTGTTTAACTCACTTAGTTAAGGCTAATTGTTCTGATCTTGTGCCTGAATGCTTAGTTCTCATTTGAAACATGCATTGAATCTAGCATGCAACATGTCCTAATTTCTAATTTCCTTTCATTGCTCAGCTGCCTAAATAAAAATAAAAGTGGCAAAAATAAAACCATGCTTATTTTCTTTTTAAGTTAGCATATTATAGTAATTTCCCCTGATAGAAAAGGAAATAAATGTTTCCTGCTAAACTACGTGCTGCAGCTCTGGCCAGGAGCTTTTACAAAACTGACTTGGAATGTAGCTATAGGACGGAAGTTGAATTACAGATTTAGAAGAGCTATCAAGAGAAGATTGCTGTGATGGCAAGGTAATGGTGTAAACATATAAACAGGCTTGCAGGAATATGTTACATGAAAAAATGTAAGGATATAACAAAGACAGTCGACGTACAGTCAAGTTAAGATGTGTTCCCATTAATTTTCAGCCAATTTCAGTTGTAAGACCCTTGTGTACTTGATGCACTAATAAACTTCTCACAATGAATTCAGCTGACAAGATACTTTTCTGCTCAGATCTATGATGATTGTGCAACCTAGCATTTTCTTTTCTTTTTTTTTCTGGGGTTACACTAAAATATTAATAAAATAAAACAAACTTGCAAACCTTTTTGTCACTGAAGCTGCACGTGCAATTTTCAGGACTGCAGAATGGATAATAACTTTTAAAATAATTTTTATAATTACAATTATACAATTAATTGTAATTATATATATAATTTATATAGCATTCATTATATAGAATTTGTCTTTTTTTTATCAATTTAATTGACTTTTAGTTAACTTTTCATTTGAGCAAGTCCAAGACTTAACCAGCGTTAAAACCAGCTAAAAAATTAAAAATGACATTACCAAGATTAGAACATTTTAGTCAAGATTACTCAAAATCATTGAAGCTCATATACTTTATGCATTTGCCCTTTCAAGGCTTGCTGAACAATCATACACATTCACAGTATAAAGTTTCTCCGTGCGAGCTTCATGTCACAGTGAATCAGAGAATCAGTCTTTTAATATTTCCTCCCTCTGACATTCTTAATCAGTGAATGTGACAGACCTCTGAGGAAAGGTGGTGAAATTTCAGCAAAAAAAACAAAAAAATGGTAGAAGTAATACACCCTTCTGAAAGGTTTATTCACATACTTCTGGGGGAAAAAATAAATAAATAAAATATATTTTTATCTAAAGACAAACTAAAACTGAAGCTATTTAATTTTGCAAACAGAATGTTCTCATAATATCTCAACATACTACATTTCTCACACAGCAAAAATGTTTCCTTTTCTGTGAAAAAAAAAAAATCAGCTTTCTTCATATTTTAGGAGGGTCCTAGTAAGGGGTCCTTTCCTTTGATATTTTGCAGAAAGGATTGTTTAATGAAAAAATATATCATTAGAATCAAAGTACTGGGTAAATTAAAGACACACAATAAAACTCAAGAAACATCCTGGGGACTGCTTGCATATAGCCTTTTCTGTGAAAAAAAAAATCAGCTTTCTTCATATTTTAGGAGGGTCCTAGTAAGGGGTCCTTTCTTTTGATATTTTGCAGAAAGGATTGTTTAATGAAAAAATATATCATTAGAATCAAAGTACTGGGTAAATTAAAGACACACAATAAAACTCAAGAAACATCCTGGGGACTGCTTGCATATAGAGAAGACAAATTAACACATATCTGAAAGCATGTTAAGATTTTTAACTGTACTGTTTGCTGCAAAACAAGACCAAACAGAACAGAATAACGTATTAAAGACAAAGTAAGGATACTCTGTGCATTGTTGGAATAAGATAAAACACTTGGTCTGCGAATGTGATACATGATGATAGATCCCAAGGTATTTATATACAGTATGCATTAAAATAACCTCCAGACAGACAACAACAGACTATGATGAGAAAGAATCTCAATCTTCTCTTTCTCTCTCAGCCCTGCGGCCTTTAAAAGCTTTAAAGTCCAGAGACTGTCTGAATCATGCATCTTGATCCTCAAAAAGGCACCTTTCCCACCTACACTGACCCTACAGAGGGGGTTAACCAGTGCACTGGTGTAGAAGCACTTTGTCTATTCTGAGATCTTTGAAAACAGCTCCTGGATCACCAGTGAACAGAACACAAAGGCTGGGCAGATTTATAAAATATCTGTGATCCCACCTAAAGAAAAGACTAGGACACAAAACAGCAAAACTGCACAGCAGAAGAAAATCTAGACCACACTTTATGTTTGCAGGAGTTTGACGTCTTGCTCTGTTTGAACGGTTCGATATATTGTCTCAACAAATGAATATCTGCTTTTGTGTATAAAGCATTTATGAACTGGTTTACACTGATACAATAAAAGTATCATGTCAAAAAATTGAGGCCGAAAAAATGTTATAAGCATAAGCATCTTCTGCTCACCATTATTTATTCAAAAAATGCAGTAAAAACAAATATATTATGAAATATTGTTACAATTTAAAATAATTGTTTTCTATTTTATTGTAATTTAAAAATGTATTTGTTTCTTTGAATGCAAAGCTGAATTTTCAGCATAATTTTTTCAGTCTGACGATCCTTTAGAAATCATTCTAATATGCTTATCTACTGCTCAAGAAACATTTGAAATATAAATCTTTTGTAACATTATAAATGTCTTTACTTTCACTTTCGATCAATTTAATACATCCTTGCTGAATAAAAGTATTCATTTATGGCTATACTATTTTGTAATAAGTTAATGGCATCAGTTGCAACCTCTGATTACTGTATGTTCAGACTAGCCAGTTTGTGAGACCGTGACAAGAAAAGCGAATGTATATGCATACCCGTAATAATCAAATATCTAAATTTGGATCACATCTAAAATGATGATCAGCATATAATTAGAATCAGTCTACATTTGAGACCTTCTTTAATTGGAGTCAGATCAAATTAATAACACAGTCTGTCTAAAGTAAATTAAACCGTTTAAGACAATTCTTCCAGAAGCACGAGAAAAGATATACCTGTAGGAAATCACTGATGGAGCTGTCGGATCAGTGGGTGGATCTTAAGTTGGGTTCATTTGGTTAAGTACGCTGTTCACTCACCATTCAAAGTCGTGTGCTCTGCAGATGCAGGGTTCTGCAGACAGGATCCTGGAGTTGTCCCATCCCACCATGCAGTAATTTCCGGGACGACGTTTCATGTAGATCTGCTTTTGACCCATTATGCATGGCTCACCCTAAGAAAATAACATCTAACTCAGTTGCAACCTATATTACAAATTCAGAAATTGTGTTTCCGCTTGTTGTTTTATTTTACCTGGTTATGCAGGTGCCAGGTTTGGTAGTCTCCCTCTGTGCACCTTCTGGTGAATATGGACTTGTAGTCAATTTTGATAAGCTGCCATTCAGAACGATGACTGAAGTGTCCGAAAAACCTGCCAATTGACAAAGAAATGTTTAATTCTCATACTCCACCTTCATTAGCTGGTCCAGACGTGCGTGCGTTGGAATTAAACTTTGCAAAAAGGCACATCTCCAGAGGCTGGGCTGAGCAATCCTGGGTTACTTCATCAGCTATGTCTGAAATTGCTCTCTCCTAATTGACAATATGGGGTTATTAGAATTATCTGAATTCAGAGAGAACAATTTAATGCCCAATGTAGCTCATTCTTTTAAAAAATAACTAGTTTCTTGACTAAATTGGATAACACACACACATGTTGGGTTTCCATGTTTTATTGGGACATTCCATAGATGTAATGATTTTTATACTGTAGAAACGGTATGTTCTATCCCCTTACTTTAACCCTACCCCTAAACCTACTCCTCACTTAAAGCTTTCTGCTATTTTAGATTTTCAAAAAACTTAATTCTGTATGATTTATAAGCTGTTTTCCCCACAAGGACAATGATTTGGGATATTGCCATCTTTGTGGGGGCATTTTTCCCATAATGTAGGGTATACCTGAACCACACACACAGACACACACACAATAAATTTTAAATATGATTCCTAAAAAGACAATGAAACCACTAATCGGACAATACTCATATATTTACAAAGTGAAGTTAATGTCACTGTCACCATTATTATTTCCCAGATAAAGAAGTGTTTGAATTTGAATAAAGAGCACAAATTTACTCACTCTCAATTTATTTAAATAATAAATCAGACAGATATATTCATAAACAGCAGACTAAGAAAATAAATAAAGAAATACATGAACAAAGAAATACATGTGTGAGAGTTTGACGAAACTTGAGCTGTTTCTGTCTGTGTGTAGCACCTACAGCGCTGCAGATCCTTATGCAGATCCCACTGATAGCTAGTTTCTTTTTAACAATAAATCTGCAAATTTCAGTCCTGTCTTATGTATTTGTGTTTAAAGTAATAATTAAAAAATACGATACGACCCTGTTATACTATATACCAGCACTGAGACATAATGAGAAGTGTTGTTGCTTTACTGAGACTAACAACATAAGCTTAAGAGTCTGGTTAATTAACCTTTCCTCATGAGTGTATCTCTTGAACAAGCCGTTTTTCAGAGCTCAGAGGAATCTATTCTTCTGTAATAAAAAGGACATAATGAGGATGCACAGACAGTGTGCTTGTGTGAGAGAAAGATGATGGTCAAAAACAAACTTCTATAGACTTACGTCATGATCTGATTTTCTGCACCTGCCTCCACCAGAACGCCATCCACAAACAGCGGCATGGCTGAGAAACTGTGACGTGTCCACTGACGACCTTCATCAAAGCTGATCCTGCAGAAGACATCGAGATGTGCAAATGAAAACAGAAAATAGCCATGTTTCAAGATCTTAACGTCTATAAATGTGGGAGGGAACAGTAGCAAGTAAAAGCTGGAAAACTTTCTTCCTGAAATTCTGGTCATGACACATTATCAACATAATTTCACAGGTGCAAACATTAGGGTAGCACGTGTGACAAGGTTGCAACGATGCACAATGGCACTGCTTCCAAGTTGTCTCCGGTCTGCTAAAAGCAACAGTCGGAGTTAGTGTTGACATGTATCCATTAAGAGAACATACAGTCAAGGCTGTTATTTGAAGTCATACTTGCAGGAAATTACACAACTGCCCTCCACAGTTGTGACTCCACTTACTGTCTCGCTTGAGTTGTTTAAGAGAACTAAAAAATGAAGGTGCCACACTTCAGTGGGCCTAAAACTAAAGCCAAACTCTTCGAGTGATAAGAGAGAAAAGATTTAAGACTCTGGAGGATTAAACATCACTGAAGCAAAACCAGGGAGGGCCAATTTGAAGAAGGAACCAATCTGTGAACTCAGGGGGATAAGTGGGAAGCTTTAATATGGAACACTTCCCATAGTGCACCACGTAAAAACGGATTCCAATCTGTAGCTGTGTCTCATTTAGAAGGCTGCGCCCTCCGGAGGTCGCAGCCTTCTAAATGAGACACAGCTTGTTATTTGGCAGCCTTCGTGTCCTGTGATTTTTGTTCTTGTGGGGAGCATGTTCGATCTACACCAAACGAACGATTGATTTTTTTTTCTCTCAATGATCTTAATAGTACAGAACCGACCCAGTCAGACAGATAGAGTGCCAACCAAAGTAACTGAAGCAGGAATTTCGCTAAACCAGCATGAATAAACCTGGCAGAAACCAGCTTATTTTCACCTACCAAAGATGTCTAGTGGGCACAGTGGGCTGCTTCACGGCAACCAAAGCTCCACCTTTGTCCAAAAACCACACGTTGTGCTCTTCCTCACAAATCTGCATCATGGGAAGAACAACATGGGGTTATTTTAATTTTATTGCACAAATAGGCTCAAAAAGGCACTTTTGCGTAGACATTTGTGTACTTTTCTCACAGTCATACAGTAGTTTTTTCTAGCTTTTGTACTCTGGTTTAACCTTTTCGGTTTTGCAAGAGAGTTCTACAGAGATGACATATTTGTGAAGGACAAAACCCAGCCAAAGTTAGCATTTAAGCACTTCCGGTTCCATTGTTCTGAATTACATGGCGTTATGGTATAATGCCCTCAAAAATCTGCATCATGGGAAGAACAACATGGGGTTATTTTCATCTTATTGCACAAATAGGCTCAAAAAGGAACTTTTGTATACAAATTTGAGTACTTTTTTCACAGTCATACGGTAGTTTTTCTAGTTTTTTGTACTCTGGTTTAAGCTTTCTGGTTTTGCAATAGAGTGCTGCAGCGATGAAGTATTTTTGTAGGTCAAAACCAAGCCATAGTTAGCATTTTAGCTCTTCCAGTTCCATCGTCTAATGGTTTTTTTTAAATGGGTTTTTGGTATAATGCCTGAACTAAGGTTTGTGTTTAACACAAGCTCAAGATATTTTCGCATTTTATTCTATGACATAAAATACACAATTAAAAACCATCTGTGAATTTACATGAAAAAATGTTGTTGCTAACAAGTGACTAAATGGGAAGTATGAACCAGTGTGAACCAGCCCATACCTGTCTCCAGTTATTGCCTGCGTCTGATGAAATGAACATCGCCACATTACTGTAAGACAGCTCAGAGCCAATATTCCCTGGAAATGAACCAAATCCAAAAAATATTTGTGTTAAATAATGAAACAATGTCGAACACCAGCATAGCACATTCAAAATTCATAAATCAACAAATATGTATTTGTACTTGAATAAGCAGCTTTTGTAATTGAGGTCAGACAGCATGGTTCAATATTTGCTCAATTCATGCTCAATATTCTCACAACATTCATACAAATACACCCAATTCCGACTGGCATGTTCATGAGTCCATAATCCTGACACACAATCATATTGGACAAAAAAAAAAAAAAAAATTCTTGATAATGTCTCATACTGTGTTCACAATTGCCAAGACACAAAAGTCTGAAATTAAAAATCAAGTGTCACAGTATGAACTCAAACACTTCTCATCAAATTTCTCATCCAAGACCAAATTATCTGAGCTATGCTACCATACTCATTTTATATTTCCATACTTTTACTCTTAAAATTGTGAATTGTTTCATTTTGTGCATTTTAGGTCAAAGTTACTTAAATGAAGTATTAAAATAGAAACTTCTGAGCAATATTTTTTTTTCTCTAATGACTCTGAATTACAGAAGAGAGAACAAGAGAAAGAGTAGGTATGAGTGCTACATATTTGCAGTTCTGCTCTTGTGTACTGTAGACAGTGTTGTGTTGTTTTATGCCCACGTACGCAAACATCATGACTAGCGTAAACCCACCCACAGTCGCCTCTGCTGTGTGCTGTTGCCCTGTTCTAAGACGGTCACAATGAACTGAGGGGAAGTGATTGTATGTCTTTGAGTTGCCTGTGAGAAATTAGTGACAACTTTAACAGCAAACCCACTGGGAATGTGAAATGTGAGAGCTGTTCATGTTCAGAGAACTTCCTTATATGTAAAACAAGTTGCTATTTCAAAACATTTTAATTTTACAACATTCATGAATACAGAGTATACTTTTTTACATTATCTATCCAGAAAAAGGGACCTATTAGGTGGAGCACACGGTCACATGACGGTATTACAACTCAAAACCCCCTTTATATACGAATAAGTATATAGTCTAAAAAACAAACAAACAAAAACAGCATTCCAAATATTCTATTGTTCAAAAGTTTGTGATCTTTTATACCAAACTGACCAGGAGAGGTCAAATATGCAAATTACTGTATAGGCCTACATTAGAGATAGTTCACCTAAAAATGAAAATTATGTCATCATTTACTCACCCTCATGTCATCCCAAAAATGCATTTTTTCTTCTGAACACAAAAGCAGGCATTTTGGAGTATGTTGGTAACCAAACAGTTTTGTTCACCATTGACTTCAATTGACTTCCACTGACTTCCACATTTCTCAAAGTAGCTTATTTCGTGTTCCAGAGAAGACAGAAAGTCATACTGGTTTTCGACGACATGAGGGTGAGTAAATAATTTTAATTTTCAGGTGAACTATCTATTCAAAAGTTCTTTGTATTAGTGATTTAGAGTGATTTGTTTATAAACAAGCTGAGTCGTACTCCAAATTACATTTTCAGTTGGTGCAAAAATTCACTTTCACACCAACTAAACGGACCAAACGCTGTCTGCAAACAAACGTGAGGATCCGCAGCAAAAGCTCTGGAGTGAATGTGTCCTAGCCTGACGTAACAAGCAATGTTTAAGTTTCTTATAAACATGCCAACACACCCAACAGCAGCCGAACATGACAGTCCCACACATGCCGCTCAGGTTTACCCTTTACCTGTAGCCACGATGACTCCTGGCGCTGAGCTCTTGGTGGAGATGGAGCCTGAGAGGTATGGGTTCTCTGACATCTGCAGTTGTAGGTGCAGCGAGCAAAACGGCTGAGCAGAGAGAAAGTGACACATCCTCCATTAGCCACAACAGAGCTATAATGTAGCTGTCAATCAAAACAAGCCGATGTGATCCCGCAGGCATGAGAAAGTCTAAGACAATAAGCGCACGAGTGCTGCTGTGTTGGCCATAATGTAGGCGACTTTATGCTTAATATTACACAATTCATAATACAGAAACAACTCCCATAATTCACTGTCATGAAACATGGATAATACTATGTGATCTATTGCATACCGGATACGGTTAATCTTGTGGTCGGAGATCTGCATGTAAACAAAATAACACAGCTCAGGAAAATCAAGACGATAAATCTAGAAATTCAGCCAATCAAGTTAAAGGATGATAGAAGACTACGCTGCATGAGATGCTACGCTTATCAAGGCAACACAAACAGAATTTAGGACATTATAGCTGTTGTGGGAATAATTCTGTTTCATTCACATTCAGATGTAGAGTATTCCAACCTGAAATGTCTTATTTTAGACCATAAAGGCCAAATGATACAAAACAAAACTAAATGGCAGTAGTAATCTTAGCTTAGCAGGTGTTCGACTATCAACAAAGAAATTGCCTGGCAACACAATTACAGAAAATAAACATTGCTTTAATGTGTTCTGTAGATGCACAATTATCAACATAGAGGATCACACCTGTCTCTGCACGTTTGCAAACATCTGCAAACATTTTTTATCACATAACGTAGCAACTCTGACTTTTTGATGTATCCTGTTTGCTTATGATGTTTGGTGCATTAACAGTGTGCATCTGCCAAAAAGGTGCACAAGTTTTCAAGTTTAGATGGTGTTCTATTATACTTTTCAAAGTAGGAAATTGATTTCCTGAATTGGAAAGCAACATAACACCATGGTGTGGCGTTGACTCGCCAAAACTAAATCATGCTCATTAGGATCAGCTGTCTGCGCTGGAAGCAGCCAGTGGCACGTCGCGCCTTCAATTGACAGATGCTCTATTTAAGTTTTTATCACGAGGTACAGCCATTTAATTGCAATAGCAATTGTTTACTCAATAATGAAAATTCCGTGGAAGTTCAAAAGGAAATAAAAATCTGTCTGCTTTATTTTTTATTTTTTTTGTCAGAATCAGAAATGAAACAAAGTAGCTATTTAATGTGTTTTGACTTTTAAAAAGCCTACACTGGCTGTCTAATTTAAATAATCTTTTGTTTCTATAATGTATGTGCAGTTATCGTTACTCTATTCCATTATATATCTATTCGAGGTCTATTCCCTATATCGTTTGGGGCCAGCTTGCTTGCTACCTTGTTTGTTTGCTTAATGAATGAATGCTTAATGAATGAATGAATGAATGAATGAATGAAACAAAACAAACCAAAAAAAAAACGTTATTCCTTAAATTGATCAAAAGTGACAGGCGACAGTAAAAACTTTCTAATTTATTGAAAAACAAAACAAAACAATATAAAATAAAAATCTATTTCAATAAATGCTGTTCTTTTGAACTTTCTGTTCATCAAAGAATCCTGAAGAAGAAAAAATATATCACAGATTAAAAAATATATATAGTATGCAGCATAACTACTTTCAACATTGATAATAATAATAAAGGTTATTGAGCAGCAAATCAACATATTAGAATGATTTCTGAAGGATCGTGTGACTGAAGACTGGAGTAATAATGCTGGAAATTCAGCTTTGCATCACAGGAATAAATTAAAATTTAAAATATATTCAAACAGAAAACAGCTATACAATTTCACAATATTACTGTTTTTACTGTATTTTTGATCAAATAAATGCAGCCTTGGTGAACACAAGAGACTTCCTTGAAAAACATTTAACAAATCCTGAATCAAACTTTTGAATGGTAGTGCACATCATACATTTATAATATTATTGGCGCAGAGTTAAATTTATACCAATTTTTTTTACCATTTCCAAATAAAGCAGGTTTTGATTTAATTTTACTCTTGCTAAATTGTAGCCTCAAGCTTCCAGCTGAGTGGTCCGAGTTAGTAAATATTCAGAAATAACATGTAGCTTCAGTGTTTTCAAATGTATACAGCCTCAAGCCATGACTTGTAGAAGTGCGTGTTTGGTTTTGTAATAAAGGGCAGGTGTGATGTTTTATTACCGAGTGCAATAGTGGGTATCACATACTCATTTATCTAACACTAAAAAGATAACAACTTGAAGAGCTCAAATTAATAATAATAACATATCGACTGTGGTTTTCACAAAAAAAACTAAAAAACAAGGACAAATAAGGCAATATAATCATGTTTGGAGTGCCCTCTGTCGAGACCGCTACCCTTACCGTGAACGCTAATTGCCTTTTACAGTCATTACCGGCAAAAGACAGGGATTTGACATTAAAGCAGAGAAGCAACTCTCCTGGGGCCTCCAACATAACAAAACAAGAATTACATCTGCTCTCCATGCACCACAAATTGCCCTTTTCATCCACTCAATGGATGGCTTGACATTATTATATGGACGGCAAAGGCAACAGGATTTCGAGTCGGTAATCGTAAGGATTACAGGAGGCTAATGAGAGTGTCAAAGCAGAGGACTATTACAGTCAACTCGGATTCAAGCCTCTTCAGTCATGCTGGAGCTTTCTGTGTATGTTTCTTTGGCCTTGACTATTTTTTTTTCTTTTGCATCTAAACATTATACAGCTACTACATATTAATGATTCCCTATGCATGTCAATACCTTGAAACTACTTGCCATTTACAAATAATATAAAAGTTATTATTTGCGTAGATCAATATCATTTCTGATTATGCATTACAGAGTCTGTTGCCTTTAATCAAATCCATTGGAGAAAGAATATTACCTTTAAAGAATTAGACACTTAATAGACAGTATTTCTTTTGTGTTCCCACAAATAACAAGCTGACCCATAAAATAAAATAATAAAAAAATGAAATAATAAATAAAAATGCTGTTATTTTAGTAATGTTTAACATGAATAACAAATTGACCAAGGTAATGTTTAACTTACAAATACTTGTAATTATTTAATTTTATTATACTATATGTTATGTTATATATGTTATATGTTATCTTATGTTTATTAGTGGGTGAACTATTCCTTTATATTTAAAACACAAAAATAATAATAATAAAATAAAATAATTGTAAATATTTTAGTAATGTTTAACAATAATAACAAACAGAACAAGTTTAAAGAATAGTTCAATCACTATTTCTATTTCATTCCTATTCCAATCACTAATCAATAGTTTACCCACTCAAAAAAAAATGATATGTAATAAAAAATTATGTCATAATAAAATAAAATAAAATAATTGCATTTTAGTAATGATTAACATAATAAACTGACCAAGTTAAAGGAATTGTTCACTCACTAAAAATAAAATAAAATAAAAAAATCCAAAACATGTCTTTATTTCTCTGTCTCATTTCTTACCAGCACACAATGAATGGGATTTCCTGCCAGGTCAGTAGTGGGCGCCTGCAAAAGCCTCCAGTCTCGGCCCTTGTTGTAAGTAATGTACGTCTTCACCTGGTTCTCCACCTTCCTGTTAGCGATGAGCATACCTTCAATCCCTGCTACCTGGGAACAAGGGGGAAGAAATACGATACAAATATTAACATCAACATCTACATTCGCCGTTAAAGTGCTTCGGACTGTCATCTACTAACATCTCTTAATTACACAGACACTAGCGCCCACTCCGTGATAGCCGAAGCTAGCTGACATGCTCCAGACAATTTCAAGGTATTACTCTAACTGACAAGCATCTAACCCAGTGCCAGGCTGCTCATCCTCAGCTTAAAACAAGCCCAAACTTAGCAATATTGAATGGTGACAGTGGTGCTAGCGACCCATTTTAAATCACGCCCCGCTAGTGAAGCATGCTCTAAGGCAGGGTCCGAGTCTGTAAGTGGCACTAATAGGGACTGCATTTGACAGTGTCACAGTGACGGAGCCGCATTGGATGGACACGACTAATGAGGTCCCCTCCTTCGCTGGCCAGACGTGTCAATCACAGCGGTAATTATTTATTATCCTTTAGCTTCCATCTCTCCATTCCAATGTTCTCCCGGAAGAAGATGGATGTACTGGTTGTGGTAGAACGGTTCATATTCAGCATGCTCTGCAAATCGGGTCATACTTCAGAGAGCGGATCAGCTGTTCATTTGTGTTTACAATGAATTCTTCAGGACTATGTGTTCAGCACTGTGCAAACAATCATAAGAGCAACTGAGCAAACAATGCAAAGATCTTTAGCCTGAATTACTTCTGTTTAAAACAAGAGCAAAATGACCAAGAAGGTCTTGCTGTTTAAACTATTTAAGAAGCCATTTGGAGTGCATCATATGCTGGAGACCAGCAATGCTAGAGTTTTCAACTGGGAGGAAAGACAAATAGCAAACCACTGGCAACTTTGGGAATTGACTTTCTACATCCACTTATAATAAACTTTTAGACCGGTTGGTAAAAATAAATAACTAAAATAATAACTTATTTGTATGCCTCTTAGTCTGATATGTAGTGTAAAGCATTCATATATTTTTAATTGTCCATATATCTTTTGTGTTCATTGTACGCTGCCATTCAAAAAGTGTGCAGATAGTTTATTTATTTATTTAAGATGTGTTTATTGTTTTGGAAAGATAAAATGCTGCATTTATCTGATCAATAAATAAATAAAACTGTAATATTGTAAAATATTATTATTTTGCATACTTTTTACATATGTTATTTAACATATTTTTAATTTAATTTGTTTTTGTGATGACAGTAAAAACTGTAATAAAAATACAGTAAAACTGTAATATTGTAAAATATTATTACATGTACAATAAGTGTATTCTATTTTAATATATGTTAAAAATGTAATTCATTCCTCTGATTTTAAAGCTGAATTTTCAGCATCATTACTCCAGTATTAAGTATAACATGATCTTTAGAAATCATTCTAATATGCTGATTTGCTCCTCAAGAAACATTTCTTATTATTCGTATTATTATCAAACAAAAAAAGGAGTTGTGCTGCTTAATATTTTTGTGGAAATAATTTTTATTTTTTTTTTTTGGAATGTGAATAGAAAGTTTGAAAGAACAGTATTGGAAATACAATTTTTGTAATGTAACAGTCTTTACTGGCACTTTTGATAAAAAAAAAAAAACATTGCTGAATAAAAGTATTAATGTGCAAAAAAAAAAAAAAACACTAACACCAAACTTTTAAACGGTAGTGTATATTTAAACACTAGTGTTTCCAAGGTAAGCAGTGTGCATCCTTTGCACACAGGGCAGCACGCCGCTGATGCCAATACCAAAGAAGTGTGCGCACAGAGTGCCAGAACCACAATATGCATTATCTATCATTGCCGTTATAAAAATATATAAAAGTAAAACAACCCCACTTCTCGCTGATCAATAGGCAGATAAATATGACAAACGTCCAGTCACAAGTTGCATCTTAGGCTCCAACTGGAGCTTCAGTGAAAAAAGCCAGTTTTCAATAAGCATTAATGAAGGCTGCTGCAATCTATTAGAGATATGGATGGACTGCTGATTCAGTATTGGCAGGGTGAGCGTGCTTTGAGCCAGCCTTGGCAGAGAAGTGGGGAGATGCATCATAACCAATGCATTAATGAAACCATCCTTGCTAGCACTCACTAATGGAGACTATTTTTAGCCGCCTGTACAAGGGAAGCAAATGTTTCATTCCTCAGTTTTTTTGTGCTTGGTACAGGCTGCTAATTTTAAAGCAATATGTTATAGTATATGCTGAGAACGACCATATTCCGATAGTAATGTCTTACTGTCATGAAGGAGGAATGGTTTCCTTGAACTCAATTGGCAAATCTATTCTTACAGAAAAACTACATGCAGTGTGAGAGTTCTGGCCACAGACAGGCGGATCGATCTTGAGACACTGATACTTCCGATACTTAAGTTTTTTTGTGGGGATTCATCCTCACAAAATAGTATTGATTGTGGTAAATTGTTGAGTAGTGATTTTATGGAAAAGTCATGTATCTATCTATCTATCTATCTATCTATCTATCTCTATATATATATATATATATATATATTTATAAGATTAAACTTAAACACTGTACACTTTCATTACTTTGTTAGACCACTCAGCGTGTTTTTTTTCCTGTTAAAGCTTAAAAAACATATTTAAATTAAATGTAAATCAATATTAATATATAGATATACTCAAATATTCCTGAAAACAAATATACTTCACTTTATTACTTCATACTTGGTATAAGATAAAAAAAAATCCTAGTCTAATATTCTTATTAAAAGAAGAAAGCAGAACAATGCCACTGACCCAAAAGAAGTATAATGCAGACTACCGCTGAGAGGTGTTTAAAGAACTGAGGAAGAGAGACAACAGGAGAAATTGATAGAGAGAAAGGCACTTCCTTTCATTTAGTCTCACTTATTGTATGTTCTTTTCTTTTATTGGCTTTTATAAGAGTTCTTTCTATCATAGGAGAGTCTCCAATAAGACTTTTTCTCTCTAAAAAGTCTCCAATAAGTCCTTAAAGGGATAGTTCACCCAAAAATGAAACGTTTATGTTTATCTGCTTACCCCCAGGGCATCTAAGATGTAGGTGACTTTGTTTCTTCCGTAGAACACAAACAAAGATTTTTAAGTCAAACCGTTGCAGTCTGTCAGTCTTATATTGCAAGTGGATGGGAATCACGGCTTTGAGAGTCAAAAAACATACACAAACAAAACCAAATTAAACCCTGCGGCTCGTGACGATACATTGATGTGTAAAGACACGAAACGATCGGTCTGTGCAAGAAACTGAACAGTATTTATATCGTTTTTTACCTCTGATTTTCACCGCAATGTCCGAACTGTCCAGAGCGCATCCTGAGCGCGTTCAACAGCCGGCACTTGATGCGTCTTCTTCTTCTGAGTGTCAAGGGTCCACTTGAGAGATAGGTGGCAGTAATGCACTTATAAGTCTGCGATCCGCCGTAAAGCAAGAAGAGGAAGAAGATGCGTCACGTGCCGGCAGAAGAAGAAGATGCGAACGCGCTAGGACAGTTCGGACATTGCGGTGAAAATCAGAGGTAAAAAACTATATAAATACTGTTCAGTTTCTTGCACAGACCGATCGTTTCGTGTATTTACACATCAATGTATCGTCATGAGCCGCAGGGTTTAATTTGGTTTTGTTTGTGTATGTTTTTTGACTCTCAAAGCTGTGATTCCCATCCACTTGCATTATAAGACTGACTGACTGCAACGTTTTGACTTAAAAATATTTGTTTGTGTTCTACTGAAGAAACAACGTCACTTACATCTTGGATGCCCTGGGGGTAAGCAGATAAACATAAAATTTTCATTTTTGGGTGAACTATCCCTTTAAGACTGATGCTTGTGCCTTTAATAAAGACTCCCAAGCTTGTTTAGACCTTTAAAACAAACAAAAAAACCCTCCAAATTATTGAATAGGCATAATAAAAAGTGTGCTTTGGAGCAATTTCAAAATTATTATTATTTTTTTTTTTTAGGATTTTTTTAGGATTGTTCTTTTCTGAAGTACCAGCTAGAAACCCGTTATCAAGCTCCAAACCACAGCTAAACTTGAGCTACATTTTCCAGAGGGAAACGAGTTACGAAATGTCTTTATGATACAATGAACTCTTTTATCTTGAAAGATCAAGGGAAACTTCATTCCTCGTGATAGGATCCCTTTATAGAAGGAGTCATACACAAAACACGAGCAGTTCCCATTGAATCAGCAATCTCTCTCCTCTCTCCCCCCCTTGACAACATTTAACTACAACTCAATTTATCTCTCTGTCTTCAATGCTATCATTCATTTACGCTTGCTAATTCCCCAGAGGCTTAAGATAATGTGGGCTATGCTTGAGTGCCAGGGCGAGAAGTAGCGTCTGACATGAATTCTAATGCAGTCTGAGGAGTAATGAGCATCTAGCATGAAGCCTTGAAGGCTAATGTTAGCTTGTTAACAAGTTAGTGATGAAGTTATGCCTCGTAAAGGTCGATCATGCTGTTGCCTCCGAGGCCACGGCTGGTCCTGACGTTTTCCAGGGCCAAGGTGAAGTACACCCCACGTGTGTCAGATATGTACATGTTGTAGGTATCATTCTGGTTCCACTCCTGGACGGCGGTGAAAACCTGACCTTGATCTGTGCTCACGATATGCATGTCCTAGAAAACATAAAAAGAAAAGCAAGAAAGAAAGCAGAAGTCATTAGCGAGGACCCCTGCTAGTTCTCAGAGGGCATGATCTATACAGGATTACATGTTTGTGCAGGAATCAGTAGAACATGTGTTTTAATGTATACCCAACTGACCAAAGCAAGCCAACTGAAAATATTTTGTACTTCAATTCTTCAACAGGAGAAATGTGCAGAAATGTGCTTGGCATTGGTAACTAACAACCTTTGACCATTCATCCACACCAATAGGTGTCAGTATAAAGTCCAAAACCACTAGGGTTAGCAAAGTAACTAGGGGGTTGATGAAAAGCTAATGAATAGTTAAATCATAAAAATGTATATTAAAATAGATTTTTAAAATGAACAATCAAAATAAAGCCCTTGCTTAAAAAAAACAACAACAAAAAAACTACTGGAGGGCCTTCTAACCAGCACGACTATGCCTCAGCAGATGATCCAGAACGTGGCAGCATGTCTGGTTTTCAATTAGCCAAAGAGAATTCAGTCACACCCCTCCTGCTCTCACTCCACTGGTTCCCAGCTGTACCAAATTCAAGGCTTTGACACTGGCTTTCAGGACTGCTACTGAAACAGTCAATCTCCAAAACCTTCACCCTCTCTGTTCCTCTCTGGTGGAATGAAGTGCCAAGACCACCAACAGCATGACTGCTGAGAGCATCACATCTTACAAGAAGCAGCTGAACTTCTTTGCCTTTCTCCTCTTCTCAAGCTTTCTTCCGAATCTAGTTGTCTAATAATAAATACAATTATTTTATTTGTCTAATCTGGATGATTCATTCTGGTAATACTTTAGTATAGAAACCAATTCTCACTATTAACTAGTTGCTTATTAGCAGGGGTGTACATAAGTGGTACGCAGGTGCGCATGCGTGACCAAAATAAAAAATGCGATGTATAAATAAGTTCTGACAGCGCATTTGCGCACCGTCATGGTTGACAGCTGTTAATGCACAATTACCGTTTTAGATCGACAAACTGTAATACTGTATAAGATTTCTATCCAAACTGAATACATAAATAAATCTAGGCTACTCGCTGCCGTTTTCAAACCACAATGCAAAACAGTGACATTTTATTCACTGATGAGCTTCAGTCGGCAGCGCTAAACCCGGAAGCGCATATACTTACTTGCCGGCAACCTGCCAAAATAAAAGCCTGCTGATTTTAAGTTTGAAGCCTGCTGATTTTAAGATTGAAAATGATGAAAATTCATCTTTTAAAAAAGAAGAAAAGATTAGCATTTTATTTTTAAATTTACTATAAAATAGCTGTATTTGTATGTAATACTCCCTTTTTATTTTAAAATATAATAGTATTATCACACTTTATTATTAATTTATTATTTTATTTAAAAAAAAACTAAATAAATAAAGTGCACTAATATTATCACTATGATTCATTTATTTTTTTATAGTTGTATTTAATGGGTTTCACTGTGTGCAGTGTGAGGACCAAACCAAATCTCCAGGTTCTCTTATGAGAACCAGGCTGAAAAACGTATGTGCACCCCTGCTTATTAGCAAGCATATTACTAGCATATTGGCTGTTTATTAGTACTTAAAAAGCACATATTCTGCATGAATGTATTATACAACCTTAATTACCCAATACATAAACTTAACTACTACTGTACATTATTAACAATTAATAAGCAGTAATTAGGAGTTTACTGAGGCAAAAGTCATAGTTAATAGTTAGTTAATAGTGAGAACTGGCCCTTAAAATAAAGTGTGACCCAAATTTTTAAAGGAGACATATTATGCCCCGTTTTACAATATGTAATATAAGTCTCTGGTGTACCCAGAATGTGTAAATTTCAGCTCAAAATACCCCACAGATCATTCATTATATAATTTTGAAAATGCCTATTTTGAAGGGAAGCAGAAACACGCTGTTTTTCGGGCCTGTCTCTTTAAATGCAAATGAACTGCTGCTCCCCACCCCCTTTTCCAGAATAGGGCTGTGACTTTACAGCTCGTACCTCAAATACTCTACCAAAAAAAAAATCTTTCTTTTTGATTATCGTGTATATCGCGCTGAAATCATGTGTTTTAAAGCCATATCAGTGTAAACTTCTGATATAGTGTTTTCTGAGCACACACATTCGAAGCACATGCAAAGAAATAAAAAATGCGCTGTGTAAATAAGTTCTGACAGCGCATTTGCGTACCGACATGGTTGACAGCTTTTAATGCACAATTACCATTTTAGATCGACAAACTGTACTGTATAAGATTTCTATTCAAACTGAAAGCATAAATCTAGGCTACCCGCTAATTTTTTCAAAGCACAATGCAAAACTGTGACATTTCATTCAGTTGACGCTTTACAATCGGCAGCGCAAAACCCAGAAGCGCATATACTTATTTGCCGGCAACCCGCCAAAATAAAAGCTTGCTGATTTTAAGTATGAAAATTAAAAATGAAAATAATTCAAATTAAAAATAATAATTAAGGTTCAAATTAAAATAATAAAAATATTAGCATTTTATTTTTAAGTTTATTATAAAATAATTGTATTTGTATGTAATACTCCCTTTTTATTTTAAAATATAATAGTATTATCACACTTTATTATTAATTTATTATTTTATTTAAAAAAAAACTAAATAAATAAAGTGCACTAATATTATCACTATGATTCATTTATTTTTTTATAGTTGTATTTAATGGGTTTCACTGTGTGCAGTGTGAGGACCAAACCAAATCTCCAGGTTCTCTTATGAGAACCAGGCTGAAAAACGTATGTGCACCCCTGGTTATTATGGATTATTAACCAAATTTATGGATTTAAAGTTAGATTGATTTGTTTCTTACAAACACATAGCTTTTTGCTTTACAAGATGTTAATTGATGGACTGGAGTGGTGTGGATTACTTGTGGATTATTGTGATGTTTTTATCAGCATATTGGCTGTTTATTAGTACTTAAAAAGCACATATTCTGCATGAATGTATTATACAACCTTAATTACCCAATACATAAACTTAACTACTACTGTACATTATTAACAATTAATAAGCAGTAATTAGGAGTTTACTGAGGCAAAAGTCATAGTTAATAGTTAGTTAATAGTGAGAACTGGCCCTTAAAATAAAGTGTGACCCAAATTTTTAAAGGAGACATATTATGCCCCGTTTTACAATATGTAATATAAGTCTCTGGTGTACCCAGAATGTGTAAATTTCAGCTCAAAATACCCCACAGATCATTCATTATATAATTTTGAAAATGCCTATTTTGAAGGGAAGCAGAAACACGCTGTTTTTCGGGCCTGTGTCTTTAAATGCAAATGAACTGCTGCTCCCCACCCCCTTTTCCAGAATAGAGCTGCGCCATTACAGCTCGTACCTGCTAAAAACATCTGCTTTGGTTCTGATTGTCATGTTTATCGTGCTGAAATCATGCGTTTTAAACCATATGCGTATTTAAAACAAAATTCTGATATAAGGTTTTCTGAGAGCACTCATCCGAAGCACATGGACAGAAAGCGGCTGTCACAGCATGTGAGTACTAAACTAAGTTCTCATTCACACACAAGTTTACGTTAAAAACACACGAGTTACGAGTTTACTGAGGCAAAAGTCATAGTTAATAGTTAGTTAATAGTGAGAACTGGCCCTTAAAATAAAGTGTGACCCAAATTTTTAAAGGAGACATATTATGCCCCGTTTTACAATATGTAATATAAGTCTCTGGTGTACCCAGAATGTGTAAATTTCGTC